CTGCCAAGTCAAACAGCAGCACACATAATCACAAGGGAGTTCTAAGCCATCTGACAGACTTGTCTTAGCAACAAAAGCAACTAATGATTCACTTTCATTTTTCACATTTCTTGGGCACTGTGTCAAATTATGCTTTCTAGGAGAGAAAAAGGATCTAGTGGAAAATCTAACTCCTTTGACAGAGGCATTCCAAATTCTCAGAGCACTTTATTTAAACAGATGCCATCATTGAAAATCAAAAGGCCAGGGTTCAAGACGGATTTCCATCTGCCAAACGATAGCTACATTAACCACAACAGCCATTACTGAGCATTAACCTTGTGCCAGATATTGAGTTAATTTAAATCCTTGCCAAACTCAACAAGGTAGGAACTATTACTATCCCAAAGTGACAAAGAAGACCAACTATTGTGCAAATAAGTCTATTGTTGATAGAGGGACTGGGCAAGAGTTGACTGTCATGTGAAAAAATGTCCAAGTTACTAGTAATTACCAAAATGAGTATTTAAACAATCAGATACAAGATGTTTTTGCCTAATTAAATTAGCAGTGTTTAAAATGACAAATACAGTGTCAGGAGTAAAACAGCACTATTAAACACAGCTGGAGATAAGTTCAAAAAAATCTTTCTGGAGAGCAATTGGGTAGCTCATAACAAAAGCCTTAAAGTTCACAATGTTTTGCTTTTTTTTAATTTTTCATTTCTGGGCATCAACTCTAAGACAATAATTTGAAATACAGTCAATGTCTTCTGAACAAAGAGGTTCACTGCTCTGTTATTTATAATGGCAAGAACCGGAAAACCTAGATTTTAAAAAACAGGAGAATTATTGTATTGTCATAAAATGGAGTGTTATGCAGCCATTAAAACTGATGTTAACAAAACACTGTTATTAATAGGACATCATTTATGTAAGTAATTATGAAATTAAAAAGAAAAAAGTACAATAGTATAGTGGTGAAAATAGTATGATCTCAGGCTTATAAAAATGCAGACAAAAGACAGAAAGGAAATACACAGAAATGTTAATAGCCTTAATGTCATAGGATTGTGGATAGTGTTTGTCCACTTACTTACACTTTTCAAATGTTTTACAATGAATATAAATTACTAGAGGCCCAGTGCATGAAATTCGTGCACGGGCAGGGTCCTTAGGCTTGGCCGGCGATCAGGGCTGATCTGTGGGGCGACCAGCGGGGTGATTGGGAGCCCCCGCTGGCACCCACCTTGGCCAGCCCCGCCCCCCACTATCACTGCTGACAGTCACCTCCCACAAGGCGACCGGTGGGGTGATTGGGGGGTGGTGCCCGCCCACTCACTGGCTGGCCTCGCCCCCTGACCGCCCCACCACTGCCACCGCCAGTTGCCTCCCTCTGCGGGATCAGGGGACCCCCCGCTGGCACCCGCCTTGGCTGGCCTGGGGCATGTGGGCTGGGGGCAGCTTCTGTGTTGAGCGTCTGCCCGTTGGTGGTCAATGCCTGTCTTAGCAACCGGTTGTTCTGCTGTTTGGTCAATTTGCATATTAGGCTTTTATTATATAGGATATGCATAAAGAGAAAACAACACACTATTTTAGCTGACAAAAAGACAAGTCCATCTCTCATGGGTGGTTCAGCCACACCTGCTCAGTAGTGATGTTCCTAAATTGCCCCTCTCTGGTAAAACTGCCAGTGAGACTAGCAGGAACTTTGCACTTCTTGGCCAACAAAATATACTAGGAGGATCTAGTATTTAAATGTTGGCATTTTAGACCAGATAATTCGTTATTGTGGGGCACAGTCCTGTGCATTATGGGATATATAGCAGCATCTCCGGTCTCTATCCAGTAGATGCCAGTAGCAAACTGCCCCCCAACCTTCCCAAGCTGGGATAACCAAAAATGTTTCCAGATATAGCCAAATGTCCGCTGGGGAGCACAATCACCACCCTGAACTAGGTAACCGGTTCTAGCCTGGCTCAGACTCCCTGGAGACTTTAGGAAAGCCACTTCCCCTGGACCTGGGGTGCCCCCTGGCATAGCTATTCTCTGAAGTCTCTTCCAGCTTTGGCTTTTAAGAAGCTGATAACTGAATATGTTACTAGGAAAACAAAATGCAATTCTGCTATTTTCAGATTCTGCTAGAAGTTAAAATTCCTGTTCTCTCTGAGGTCAGCAAAGTTCGATGGATAATTCAGTGCAATCCAAATGGGATTTGCTACAGGAAATGAACTGAAATTTTATTTATGTACTTAGGTAAATAAAGTAACCTTTGGCTACTTACCAGGATTCAGAACTTGTAGGCAGTTTCGATTTCCTGACTGGTTGGCACCTCCAAACACCCAGATGCTGTGAGGTGTGCAAGAGGGAACGAAGCTGGCATGCTCATACCGGGGCAAGAGGCCCTCCGAGGTGGCTAAGTCCCACTGGTGTGTTTCTAGAAAACATTTCACCCAGTTTCTAGATTGGGGCTGCCAACTGTTTAGATTGCTTGGCAAACTTAGGGGAGGGGAGGGAAGAGAAAACAGTCAAAAGCATAAATGAACAACCATCAGATTACTTAAAGGGAATGTGGTCAAACTCCAAAGTATTCTGTATTAGACACTTCAGGGACTATCCACAAACCCTTTTCTATGGAAACTGTCCCCATTTTCCCAACCACAGGGGTTGAACCCAGAACCTGTTTGTACTACAACACCTTGACTTTCTAGCCTTAGCTGATTGGGTCAAAGGTAGCCACTTGACCCCAAATGGGCCAATCAGATACTCTCTCCCAAGAGTCCAGAATTCAAACAAATTCCTGGACTTGGGTGGCCATCTTCTACCATGTGTGGACAGGCAGAGAAAGCCAAAGTATGGAGGAGAGAAGAATGAAATATTTACATAAAGGAGATCTCCCCAAAGAGAGTGAGAAAGAAAGTAGGTGTTTTTTGTTTTGTTTTGTTTTTACAGATCTCCAATTCCTGCTTCCTCTCTCTCCTGAGATGAGGCTGCATTTCCAACCCTTGGATTCCTCTCTTTATTGGTTTAAAAGAGTTTCTGCGACTCACAACTGAATTATTTCTGGCTAAAACAAGTTCACATAATAATAATACCTAACCCATTAGTTATTTTAGCTAGTAAACCATTTACATAGGACTTTCAAAGGCCTATCTTATTGGATCATTACAACCGTAAGTGAACCATTTTACAGGATACTGAAACCCAGCTGGTTTAGACAGATTAGCCAGACAAAGTTAGTAAGAGGTGACAACAACCATGTAACTGAACTAGACAGTGAGCTTCTTGAGGGCTAGAAGAGATTTGATTTACCTTTGATTCTGGTGCAGGCTGTAGAAATTCAAATACCTACACAGGAGTGGAGGGAATGTGGCAAATTGGAGCCTGAGAGCCCCATCGATAGGTGGCAGTCAGCTCCAAATAATTGTTGCCATGTAGACACATAGGCCTACAGATGTCAGATCTTCCAAAATTATCAAAAGAAGCCAAACCATTTCAATTTTTATATGTAGACTTCTGCACATTTGGTTGGCAAACAACTCAGATTAAAACAATAACAGCAATGGTACATGCACCTAACAAAACATGTATGAGTCACCAGTTTTCTCCTGCCATTGTGTATAGTACATAGTAGTTACTATTTGTTTATCCGTCCATTCCTCCATTCAAATACTTATAAAGCACCTACTCTGTGCCAGGTGCTATTGTTAGTGGCTGGGGATACAATGATGAGCAATATAGCCATGTTTCTTGTTTCCAAGGAGCTTATACTCTTGTGGGGAAGACAGATGAGAAACAAACCCACGAGATAAGGAAGATAAGGATGGGAAAGTACAAGATACTATGAAAATATAGAGGGTGGTTGTGACATTGTGATTTATATTCAGAAATATATATATTTGACCTTCATCACTTCTAGGCACAGAGCTCCTAAAACCCTTGGAACTTCCTAAGTGGTAAGATCAGTAAAGGTGTCTTATGCAACAAGTCCCGGTCAATCACACCTGAGCTTGTTAGGGTGGTGACTTTATGAAAAGCCTCTAAGGATGAGACTGGTTGCCAAGGAAACCAACTCTATGATTAGAGGGTTGGAACTTTCAGCCCTTAACCCTGCCCCCATCTCTGGTTGTTACCTGTACTTCTGACTGACTGGTTATATTTCAAAGTTTCCCATGACCCCCTCTCCTTAGGTTTAATTAATTTGCAAGCACTGGGTCACAGAACTCAGAGAAACATGTTGCTTGATCACCAGTTTACTATAAAAGAATATTTAACTCAGGAACAGCCAGATGGAAGAGATGCATAGGGCAAGGTATACGGGAACGAAGGTGGTGCTTCCATGCCCTCTCTAGGTGCGCCACTCTCCCCACATCTCCATGTGTTCACCACCCTGGATGCTCTCTCTCTCTGAACCCTCTCCTTTTGAGGTTTTAAAAAACTTTATTACATACTCATGGCTGATTAAATCATTGGCCACCAGCAATTGATTCAACCACCAGCTCCTCTCTCCTCCCTGGAGGTGGGGAGAGTATTACTGAAAGTTCCACCCTCTAATCACCAGGTTAGGTGTCCTGGTGACCAGCCCACATCCTTAGGTACTTTCCCAAAGTCACCTCATTACTATAACAAAAGACGCCTTTATCACTCTCAATACTTCGGAAGTTCCAGGGGTTTGGGGAGCTGTGAGCCAAAACTATGGGCAAAGACTAAGTATGTATTTCTTATAAATCACAATATCAGAAATCTGAAAGATGCATAGTAGCCAGGTGATGAGAAAGGGAAGAGCCCCCCGAAGCAGAGGGAATAATAATACATGCAAAGGTTTGGAGACCAGAATTCAAGATGTGTTCAAGAATCCAAAGGACACTCAGTGTAGCAAATGGGGATTTGGGAAAGCCATGAAATAAAGTTGGGAAAGGCTTGACATGCAGTCAATTTTGTATTTTAGACAATATTCTCTGGCTAAGTAATGGAAAATGCACTGTAGATGGGGCTAAACTTGGAAGCAGGGAGACCAGAGAGGAAGCTGTGGTAATCTAGTTGAGAGATGACAATTCTTGGACTACAGTGGTAGTGGAAATGGACAGACATGGATGAAGAGAGAACTATTTAGGGCTTAGTGATTGGATATGTGGATGGAAGAGGAGGTGGAGTCATCAATGTCTCCCGGAGAAATAGTTGATAAATGAACGGCTGGATGTCCAGGGCTCCATACGGACTCTTTTTCCCAAAACATGATGTACTGGTTGGGTGCTCTGCTGAGACCTTAGGGACCTCTCAGTAATGTTCATTTTCTTAGAGGAAAACCCTGCTGTGTGTGCTGAACTGGTGTTCCTAGGAATGCTCTGGTCCTGGCCAGCACCACAGAGCCCTGCTCTCTGGCTACAGGCACATGCTCTGCCGCTGCTGGTCTTACCCAGGTCCATGGTGTGCACATCGGAGAAGCTCCTGTTTGGATCTGCTCCCCCAACAATGAAGACCTTCCCTCTCTTGGCATCACCAACGGGGGGTAAATACGAGCAGCTGTGGCCAACCCGAGCACATGGGCTGTCTCCAGCGGGGGTCAACGTGTACCTGCCAAAGGAGGGATGCATTCAGGAGGCCTGAGCAGAGAATAAGTGCAGCAGTGTGTTCCTCCTATTCCTCATGAAATATTCATAAGAATGAGGGTCTTATACAGACACAGAACACTTTAAACTGTGTCCAGCAAAGCAGCATTTCCACTTGCATATGACCTTTGACTTTCCAATTTTGTTATTACTTTCATCTCACATTAACCTAATGGTGATGCACTGGGGTAGTAACTGGCCCCATCTGGTGGATAAACTGACACCCAGAGACGTTCAGTGGTGTGTCCGAGCACAGGATGGTAGTTCTGAGCTTAGTTTGTGAATTCAGACGGACCTAGTTCAAGTCCAAGTTCAGGTGCTTTCTAGATGTGTGATCTTTTGGAAGCCACTTAACCTTTCTGAACCGAAATTTCCTTATTTGTAAAACGATAGCAATAGTTCTTACCTGTGAAGAGTAAGATGAAGTCTTGTAACAGTGCAGGGAAGGACTCGGTACATGGTGGCTAGAGCTCTATGTGCAATCACACAGGAACCTACAGCCCCAGCACTCTTGCCACTAGACAGTGCTGCTTCCTGCTCTCAAGTAATATTCACCAGAGTCTACTGATTTTCGGAGCTGATGGAAGCCAAAGCTAGGACTTTGGAAAGTCAAATACAGGATCCAGTTATTCCACTCTTTAAAGTTATTCTGAATTATGATTGAGAAATCATACTGGTTGGAAAACTTCCTGCTTGGAAAAGACAATCCTGTAGCTATTTTTGAGGCCCTGTCTTATCTGACCTCTTTGGCTCCTTCTTTCTTCTTGTACCTTCTCCTTACCTAGCTACTCCACTCTCCTCCTTTTTGGTTCTCTACCCACTTTTCCGGGGGCTCTTTCTGACTCCTTCTCTTTTTTTTTTTTTTTTCTGACTCCTTCTCTGACTCCTTTCCCACCAGCCTTTTCAGCCTATGTTTTCTTACCTGATCCATTTTACCTGTATGGACGACTTCAATTACCACCTATCTATATATTCATTGGTGATTTCCAAAATCTTTATTTCTTTCCCAGATCTCTGGTCTGATGTTCAGATTCACAGATCCCATTACACCTGAGTAATTACTAACAACGTACCCTGCATGCTGCTAACTTCATTACAACCCCAGTTGCACTTAATCTGCACAAAACCCCTTTAAGGACAGTAAGTACTGTTATCATCATCATTTGAGTTTTACAACTGAGGACCCAAGGCTTGGGTAAGGTTAAATAACTTAGCCATCCAGACACATGGTGAATAAGACAACAAAAGGTCCATGCCTTCACAGCCCTTAAAGACTAGTTGAGAAGAGAAACATTAAACAGACAAGTTCACAAATATCTGTTTCATTTCAATTGCACTATAAAGGAGTACAGGGTAGACAGTATTAGAACAGATCATAGGGGCACCTTACCCTGTAAGGAGGTAAGGGAGGTAGGTAGTCAGGGAAGGCTTCCTGAAGAAGCACCACTTGAACTGAAATCTGATGTATGGATAGAAGTTAGTTGGACAAAGAGAGAAAGATGGAGGGAAAGAGTGATCCAGGTACAGCGACCAGCACATACAGTTGCTGAGTGGGACAGGGCAAGGCATGTTAAGGAAGAGAAAAAGAACAAAGGATGAACACAGGGATTTGAGGTCAGAAAGACAGGCAGGGGCAGATCATGCAGGGCCCGGTGGGCCATTTTAAGGACTCTGGTTTTGATCCTAAGACCAATGGGGAGGCACCAAAGGGTTTTAAACTAGGGAATGCCATGGTCAGATTTATGTTGTGTAGAGGGCAAGAGTGGACACATGGAAGCCAGATTGAAGACTCCCTTGCAAGGTCCTACAGAAGCTCTGCCCCATCCATCTCTACAGCCTTTTATGGTCCCTGCTTCAGCACAGATCACATTTCATCACCATCACCTGCTTCGTCTGTTAGCCCCCACTACAGTGAGACTATTCACCTTTGTATGTCCAGCACCTACACAGCAGCTGCCCCTGTCAGGCCAGTGTCAGTTATTGAATGAAGGGTTGATTGAGCATGCAGCCAAGAAACAGGGAAGCCAGTTAAATCCAAAGCCAATTCCCTGAATATCTTAAAAACGAGTCACAGCTTGCGGGGGAAGACACAGGGTTGAAGCTGAGGATGCCAGATGGCCAGGGCCTTCCTCTTCCTGGTAAGTGGATTTTAATAAAATCAACATCTGCTCTGATAATTATTGCCCCACTACCTTTCCTCTGAAGACCTTCTCAAATGGTTTGAGGCTAATTACCAGAATCTGCCCACAGTTTTATCTCTACCCTTTTCAATAGATGTTTAAATATGTTAGTAAACCACTTATAAATGAAACAAAAACTTATGTTTTCCTCTGTCTGCATCCTTCCTTACAGACCATGTTGCTTTCCTGGGCTTGTCTCCAGGCTCCAAGACTGGCAGCTGCTTCATGGTGTTCTACATACAAGAAAGAAAGGCACTTTTTAGAAATTTATGATTATCTTCTACCTAAAACACAGAATTAGGTCGCTTCCCTCTTTAAAACCTTTCCTGTTGATGTACCAATTTCTAGGATCTGATGAATTTGAATAAGCCTCACCAACCTTTTGATGGCAAGGTATATTTGAGAGGCAACTATAAACACAACTTTCTAAACACAATGACAGGAGTGTTTTGGCTATAGTTTTCAGTGTCTGTAATTTTCATGCAGAAGAGGCATACATCAAAATAAATTTTCAGAGGTCAAGCTTATGTTTATCAAAAGATAAGGACATTTTCAAAGGCTGACAAATACTGAACTCTAGAATAAATCCTAGCCTCATCATCACATTCAAAGGTTTCTGGTATCAAACTTTTTTCCAGAAACTCACTCCAGTTTCTTGCTATATTGAGTTGTTCTTGCTATATTTGTTGTTCCTCTAACATGACAAGCCCTTTCATAACTTGCATCTCCTGCTGTTTCCCTTACCTGAAATGTTCCTTCCCCTCCTTTCAACCAGCAAACTCCTAGGTAACCTCCACAACCCGGTTGGAATGAACCCTCTTCAGTAAAATCTTCATTGATTTGCTGCTTTCCACTTACCATCCTCAAATTACTTCCTTCTCCTTCTGAAGGTATCTATTAAACCACCATATTGCAGGGATCACCGTGAATGTAATTACCTACGAAAACGTCTCTAGACTAGATTCTAGTCTAAATTCCAAGAGAGCTGGGCCTGTCGAATGCCTTCAGAAAACCTACCTACGGGTCCGGCATGGAGTAGAATTGAAGGATGAACGAATGAAGAAAGTGGATGAGATTGCTGGGAGATGAATGGATAAACCCAACCTTGGCCGTAAGCCAATGCCTGCTGTCTCCAAAGCCCAAAAGCTCAGTGGGATAAACTTCGTGTGGGCGGGGATATCTCCAGTCTGGTCCCCGCGTGGCAATGACAGGGGACAGGAGACAGGGTCGGGGGAGAACAGGCCGATCCCTTTCCATCATGTGCCCAGGCCAGACCCGGAGGAGGCCCTCCCCAACCCGGCCCGGGCCCACTTCCACGCCCCTAAAGGATGAGGCCGCCCCCGCCCCAGGATCGTCCTGTGACCCCCCAGCCCAGACCGCATTACCTGCAGCGGCTTAGGCCAGTTCCGAGCTGTGGCTCCGCCCCCAAGTGGGCGGGGTTTAAGCCGTCACTCAGTCCCAGACCCGGAAAAGCGAGGCAGCCAACTGCTCCCCCCCCCCCCCCCCCCCGCCCCAATTTTGGGGGCCCGCCCCCAGGGATCGCCCCTTAAGGGGGGGGGGCGGGGGACCTCCAGGGTGGGATGTAGGCGATACATTTCCGGGGCACCCATTAGGGCTGGTCTTGGGAACTTAAACTGCGTGCGGAGGTAGAAAAACCAGGGTGGCTTGGAAAGGACTTTACAAAAAAAATGCTGGAGGGTGGGCGGCCCACGCGGGGGACCCATTTGTGGGTATCCCAAAGGCGCCGGGGATATTTTCAGTTTCAGCGGCTGGCTGGAGATGGTTCTGGAGGGAATATGAGAAAGGAAACCCGCCCGAAGCTGCTTAAGAAGAGCGCCTGTGATTGAAGGCCACACAGGGATTAAAAGGCGCAGGAGATGAAGCGATGCTGGATCCACCCCTGCCTTGAAGCCCAAATTTACCTCTTTTGAATTTGTTTTTTATGTGAAGGCGAAAGGTTCTTTTTTTCCTAAGCGAAATTTGGCCTCTCTAATATTTAACCCCTCCTAAAAAAAAAGAAGCCCCCAAAAAATGAACCCTCGCCGGCAAGGAGAGAAAAAAAAAGGAAATTGTGGTTCTCGGAAAAGGGGAAGTTAAAGGAGTGTTCTTCTCGAGAGGAGAGAAAACCCCCCCCGTGGCGCGCGCTTTTGGGCGGTAAAACCAGAAGGTTTTTACTCCGCCCTCTTAAA